GGGCATGAACAGGGGCAAGCACCGTATAATATATTACTATTCACTAGCATCAAATTTCACGTGTGAATCGATCTAAGCTTGGTAAAGAAAAGTGCAAATATTACCCAATAAGATTCCACCCTTTCGTACCAAAAGCGTAGGAAAGAGACATTCTTGGGGTCCAATGCGAGGGGGGATTCCCTCGGAATACCACATATCAAATTGCTTTCACATTAAAAGGCACCTTTTAATCAATTTTTTAATAAATAATTTTTTTTTAAAGGGACAGTTACTTTTTAACCTTTGGCTAATCCTCTTTCACACTTCTTTTTTCTATTAATAATCCTCTTAAATCAAAAGAAACATAAAGAGAAAAAGGGGGGGGGGGGGAATGAGAAAAAATTAAAAAAAAAAGATTAATTAGTGGTTTGTATAATAGAAAAGAGAAAAAAAAATTAGAAAAAAAAAACTAAAATATATTTATAAAATGACATGAATAACAACAAGTAAAAACTGTGACAAAAGAAAAACAACAAATGAAAAAATGAGGTATAATAATTTGTTTATAAATATCGTAAATCTTCTTTCACACTTTCTGTTTTCCTCCGACATTGGACAGAATGATTTATACGTGCGATTTATTATTTGTTTTTCATATCTTATTCTCATGTGCACTAAAGGAAGGAAAGCTTTTTGTCTTTTTTTTTTTTTTTTTTTTTAAACGTGTTCCCTTTTCTATATTTTTTATTCTTCTCCTTTTAAATTGTTACATATGTAATGTTAAAGTCATTAAGTTTTAAAAAATTTAATATTTTTTTCTTAAAATAAAACCTTCTTCTTTGTTTATGCAAATAATTTGTGGTTGTTGCGGTTGTTAAGAATGTTTTTCTATTCCTACATGTATCTTATTTAGAGGCAATTTTACTTTAAATACTTCTTAAGTTACTTATTTGTGGATATTTCTAACTCATCTTAATTTGCAATTTCATTTACTTCCATTATGATAGGTGTGAGAAGGTAAACATATAGCCCTACATTAATTATAGATATAACGTAAGTATTGTATACAAAATAATTTTGTGAAATTGAGTTAGTCTCTAAGTTCAAAATTAATATGTATGATGTTAAAGTCTATTTTAAATCCATGGTTGTTTGAGCCACAAAAAAATGACCTAGTCTGATAACTCAATATGTTGGGTTGAGCAGAGTTTCAAAAAAAATGCTTAAAAAGGTTCAGGTTAATTATGCTTATGATTTTGAAGTCTAAGACCTACCAAGACTATTTGACTCAATATTATTTTTATTTGTCCAAATTTAAAAAAAAATAGAAAATGGGTTAATGTGCCCCAATCTAATGTGGGCAAGTCAAAGTACAATATAAAAGTTGCATGAGATTCATGTTAAGAAAACCCGCTTTATATTGTTTTTCATCAGTCTTATATAAAAACCTAGACACACTAAAATGAAAGAGATCTAGAGAATTGTATATTTGTAAGATTAAAGGAATTAATTTGTACTACTTACTAATAAGATGTATCTATTTCTCAATAGTTCATCACTTAAGAGTTGTAAAGGTAAGCGTGTTTGACTTTGAACGATATAAGAATAGGTGACCTTTTGAGAAGTTTTTTTAGAAAGTGTGAGTGAGGACAAAATACATTGAAAAATCCTCTGTTGGTTTGTGGAGACAGTCGATGATCATGAAGGTGGTTTGACATCTCAGAAAAGATTACTCACAAAAAGTTCTAACCGATATGAACGATTCTAACCAATAAGGAATTGTGTGAAATTTTACAGTATAAAGTGTCATGGAGTGAAACTGCTAAGACATCAAATTTGAGGGATGTTGTTACATCCTAACTAGCCCATTCGACAATCTAATTATTGTTTGAGGCACCTAAATTGGCATGTTTTATGTCAACCTTAATTTGTACCTTCATTGTGATAAGCATGAAAAGGTTGTTGCCACACATCATAAATACTTTTTATGATAAGGATTTGAGTCTTGATCCATCTAATTAAAGGAGACAAGACTCTTATTTAATTTTTATTAATATTATGTTAAAAATATTTATGATAATTTAAAATAGTACAAATTACATATATGAATAATAATAGATCATATTCTATGAATTCAACTTATTTTATACATTAACTTGGTAATTTTAGAAAAGGGTTATCACCTATTTTCATATTACTTTTTTTTTAACAATGCAACTTTACTAATTTAATAATCTTAAAAGGGAATTGCCTCATCGTTAAAAAGCCAAAGACAAGAATTGAGCCGCAGTTTCTATAATTTAGATAGTATTATAACTAAGAAAAATTCACATCATTGCAACATAATAGATTGGGTGTTTATTTATTTTATAGCCGAGTAAACTTCATTTTAATAGATCTTTTAAAACCTTTAAATACAATTGGAATATGTCCAATATCTAATTAACAATAAAAGTCGAAATTCAAAAAAAATTATAAGGATAGAAATAATTAGAGTGGGACAAAATTTTTAAAATATAAAAGCACACAATTAAAAACAAAACTTTTAAAACACTGAACCAAACTCAAAGTTGGTACAAATTGTAAGGAGAAAATAAACTACTTAAAATTTTAAAGCCTTTTTTAGTGACATGTGGATCACAAGTGTTGTCGACGCAACTTATCCTGTACAGGAAAATCAACCTCGACAAAGGGTCAATATAAGACCAACTTAGTTTATTCTTACCGTGGTACTATCTTTGTGGAAGCTTCACCCTTTTGGACTACCCATGAAAAAACTACAGTGGAAGAGTTGTCAAAGACTCAAAGTCATGTTGTGTGCAAATCCACGCCAAATTACCTGCACTTTTTTCTATTGCAACCGTAACGAGAGACCACTACCGTTCACCAACAAACATGATGGTTTCACACCCAACAAAAATTAAAAAATATATATAAATATGGTACTCTCCAAAATCATAGATTTTTATTTTTATTTTTTTATTTTTTTTAATGTTTTACACATTTTAAGTGATATTAATAACTTTTTTTCATGAATATACTCGTTTGATAATTAATATTTTTATTTCATAATTATAATTGTTCTTACTCTACATATTTCAAGATATTAAATTAGAGTATTTAAAATTTAACATACCGATAATAAATAATTTTAAAAAGTAAAAAAATTCTAAACATAAAAAGTATTTTGCATCTACTGTAGTTCTTGGTGGAGGAGGGATTGACATTAAATGATCAATCTTGAGGTATTGTATGATATATTGCATCTACCCATCATGTTATCATGTATGTTTTTTCAATATTTTTTCCTTTTTGCTTCCTTTGCAACAAGCTCAACATTTAACTTAACTATCTTATTTTGCATTTTTGCTATCATCCCTATAGTGGTTGGTGATGTCTGTGACATAAAAGACTGAGGATGTGTTGAGTAAATAAAATAATCGGTCAATCCAACAAGCTCATACAATATCCCACTCACATGCTTTTTAATAACATGCAAATAAACTTCATTATTCCAAGTAGAATTAGATCCCTATTTGTCTTTTGTGTAGCTTGTTGTTTGATCACATTTAAACACTCCTTATATTTCTCTTGAAAAATAAAAACAATATTACTTTCTTTTATAATTAATAAGACAATAAATTTTAAATGATAGTAAAAATATAATAGTTAAACTTATCACTAAGATTGTTGATAGTAAAACAATATAATAGTTAAAATTGCAAGACAACAAATTCTTTGATTTAAATTCACCAAATAATTCTATGGAGAAAAGATAAATACTAGAAGGGGGTTAAATAGTGTATATCAAAAACTCATGTTTTTCGTAGTGAGGTAGTAACGTTAATTAGATGAAGTGCAAAGAGTAGTCAGATGGAACATTGGGTATTTTTATATTGGTTCGTCTCAACTACCAAGACTACGTCCAATTCTCAATCCAACCATATTGAGTCTCACTATCTTTAAACAAAGATACAAATATTCTTTTAACAAGCCAATTCTGAATATAAATATATATAAATATGGAAATCTCCAAAATCATAATTTTTTATTTTAATTTTAATTTTTTTTAATGTTTTACACATTTTAAGTGATATTAATAACTTTTTTTTTTCATGAATATACTTGTACTGGCCTAGCCGAGTTGTGAACTCGTCCCTCGCCAAGTTGCCAAACTCAGTCAAAGGTTTACCAACCTGACCAAGAAATAAACTCATTATTGTCGAGCTCTTCAACTCGACCACGAAACATTGACATTGAAACATCACATCGGCCCAAGGAGGCCACATCATCAGACAGATAAAAATACAATCTTGTCACCGCACCGCAATCACGAGGTAAAACCCTAAAATTTCCAATGTGTCGGTAAACAGTAAAAACCCTAAAATCACCAAGGTACGTCTACTATATATACGAGACATCTACACTATCAAGTACTAACATTGGCATCAGAGTCTCTTTTGCAGGTACCACTCCCATCTTGGAGCGGAAAACCTGCGAACTAGTGGAGGCTCACCAATCTCATCAGAGAGATCGTCACCAATCCAACCTTAGGTGAGAACATCTTGGCGCCCACAATGGGACCGAAAAGAATTCCTTTCTTTCGGCCAATCTTATGGCTTCTACCCGAAGCCATAATAGAAGAGTAACAAACGACGCAACTGAGAACGTGCCAAGGATGGAAGGAGACACGACAATTCGACGTTTGATCGAGCAGATCGAACAAATGCGGCGACAAAGTATAGAAGCCCTTGAAGCTATGCATGCCCCACCAAGCTGACCTAGCGGCTCTACGCACGGAAAACGAGCACATTTGTGCCCAATTTCACCAACAACCCCCCAACCAACCTCCTTAGCAGAACAACCACCATGAGGAGGAACACCAATCACCCTCATCGCTGCCAATGTCACATCGGTCACATGCGCCGACGCATCACTCTGGTCACGAGGTCAGCCATGCAACCACCCAAGCTTTCCCACATCGGCTAGGTGTCAGACGCCATCCTTTCGTCGACGACATCATGGGGACACCTCTCCCCTTAGGTTGGAAGTCTCTGAACATCGATCGTTATGATGGCTCGTCCGATCCAAATGAGCACATTGATGCGTACGTCACACAGATGAACATGTACACTAATGATGACGCCCTAATGTGTCAGGTTTTCCCAACCTCGTTGAAAGGCCCAACACTCACTTGGTACACTCAATTGCCAACAGGATCGATCGATAATTTTGAGACCTTGATGAGACGATTCACAGCACAATATACAACGAGTCGACCTCATCACATCACGTCTGCCGCCCTAGCCAACCTCAAGCAGGGCGAGAACGAGTCCTTAAGAAATTTCATGGAGCGATTCGCCAATACGTCCATCCAGATGCGTAACCTCAATCCTGAAGTCGCCTTGCACTCCATGCTCATGGCGTTGAAGCCAGGACCTTTCGTCGACAGCCTTTGCTGACGACCTCCTCTTGACATGGATGAGCTCCGAGCTCGCGCTGCTGGGTACATCTAGATAGAGGAGCATGCCGAGTTTCGTGAGGTAATTAGCAGCAAACCACAAGGAAAGCAAGATCAAGGTCAAGCCACGAACATTAAGAGTTGGCAACCTTATCTGGCGATTACGGGGAGAAGCAAGTGTTGAGATTCATAGTGGTGAATCAACTCACTTCTGGAGAATGAAGGTTTTGATGATAACAAAGTATGGATCAAAGTTAACCAAGGACATCAACAAGTCAAAAACAAAGTCAAAGAAGAAAAATATGACTATTATGTTGTAATAGGAGTAGCTCATAAATTGTATTGTTTTGTTGAGCTTATTTTTCATGTGTGTGTGCTTTGTGCATGAGCTAATCTTTATGTAATCTGATTAAGAGTGAGTATGATGATGAGTTTGAAGCTTAAGAAGTTATTTTCAGACATAAAACAGAGTTTTTGAAAACTGACTCAAAATAATCGATTATCATTAAATATAATCGATTATTCTAGCAACAGGCAAAAAAAATGCCTTGTTGCAATAATCGATTATTTGTGAAATAATCGATTATCCCAGGAATCACTCTCTGGAATAATCGATTATCCTGCAAAATAATCGATTAAATTGTTCTTGGTTGATTTCCAGAAATCATGAAGAACAAAATAATCGATTATCTGGTTCTGAAAAACTTATAAATAGTTTGCACATTTTGAAACTTCAGAATAAGAGAAGAACAAGATAGAACAGAGAATCAAAAAGAGAATAACGTGATTGTGAAGTCTTTGTGACCTTGTTGGAGTGTTTTCTTTGTGAAACCAAGAAGTAAAACGTTTTTGAAATGCTTTGAGAAAAGATCATCATCATCATCACATTCTTGAAAAGAGAAAGATTAAGATTTGCTTCTGAATTCCAGGTGAATTCGTTCCTTAATTCCTTGAAATGCACAACATTGTTTTAGACTGAATCAAAGTATTGCATATTGATTGCTCCTAACTTTGAATCTTATTAATGATTAATCAAGAAAGCATATAAGATTCATTCTTCATTAACAAGTCTTTAAGGAACTTCTTTGAAAATTCATATTATAAAAGTTTGAATTGAAATAAAGATCCTAAGAACTCTGAAAATTTTTAAAGTGTCATAGAATCCAATTCACCCCCTTCTTGGATTGAGTCATTCTTTTCTAACAGCAAGAACAGACCCATCCGAAGGGAAATTCACAGCTAACTGGGAAGGACCATTCATAGTCACTGAGGACCTCAACAATGGTGCATATCGGCTAGAGGAACTCAGCGACAAAGCTCTCCCAAGAACTTGGAATGCCACCTACCTCAAATTTTATTTCTCTTAAAGTGTAAATTCAGGTGATGTACTCTTTTTCCTCCTCATCCTTTTTTCCCACTGAAAGAAATAAAAGAGTTTTTGGTCGAGGAAGGTTTTAACGAGGCACACCCAAGAAATATCAACAAAGTAACTTTATTCCCACATACTTTCAGTATTGGCACATTGGCGTTTAAAATCACGATAACTTACCAAGGTGAAATTTGAACCTTGATGACGCATCCTCCTAGCCAAGGTTGAATTCGAATCTTGATGTTATATTTACGCGGTTAAGGTCAAGTTCGAACCTTCTTGTGCCAAGGTGATGGAATCACACTAAGGCCAAGAAGACCAAGAGGTGATATTTTGAAAGAGGCAAGAGGAATGTGTTAGTTTTGAAAACCCTAAGAGGAGTGGGCCTACTTTTGGGTCTTAGCTCCTACGTTTTTATTAGCATAAAATTTATTCCTATTTTGCCCTTATCTTTAAATTTCCCATTTTCACCCTTGTATTTTGGGTATCTTAGACATAGTATTTATTTTACTTGTATTTCCCATTTTACCCTTGTATTTTGGGGTATCTTAGTATCATAGGATTTATTTTCTTTTGTATTTCCCATTTTACCCTTGAATTATGGGGTGTTTTAGATCATAGGTTTTTAATTTTGGGCTAAGGTATTTAATTAAGGAGCTAGATGCATTTTTGGTGGTGTTTGGACCTATTTTTGGACTTAGAAAGGCTTAGGCCCAAGTGGAGGGCAAAGGTTGCATGGTCTTATCATGCACCTAAATGTAGCCTAACTAAACCCAAAGATTCCATCCTTAGCCACCAAGTTGCATCTAGGGTTAATTTGGGTTTCATTTGGTGTACATTTGGCATTGTAAGTTTCAGCCAATGCAACCTTAGATGCCTCTCATTCCTATAAATACCCTAGGCACCACACCTTGTAAATACTTTGGATGTTGACTATAGAGAGAGCCTTTGTGCCTTTATATCATTCCTTAGTCACCCTTGGCTAATTTGGCCACCTCCCTCCCATCTCCACCTTGAGAGAAACAACTCTATAAGTGACCTTCATCATCATGAAGTGAGCCAACCCTAGAGTACCCTCCTCAAGTATTTCCTCAAACACCTTCTACCCAACCTCCAAACACTTCCATTTTCGCCCCATTCCTCCATTAAAACGTCCCTTGAGGAACTTTGATCCAAGGAGTTCAAGCATCCCTTTCCATTGTTCAACATTCCTTCTTCAATGGAAGCAAGGATGCCATCATGTGGTATATCAGAGCCTTGGTTCTTCAAGGGTAACATCTTTGTCTCTTTAAATTCGGTCATGTCTACTTTGAGTCTCCTTGTTGTCTTCTAAAGTTGTGAGGGTAACATCATATGTTCATGATTCATATTGTTTCTTTCATGTGTTGATTCATGCCTTCATCATTATTGTGAATCATCTTGGTGCTTTAGGCTTCCTTGCTAGGGTTTTTACCAATTTTTCTTTAAATTTAAGTTGTTGGAAAATTTTGGGCTGCATGATATAATGATGTTTTTTATTTTTTTAATCCATTCGGTTTTGTCATAAACTTGTCTCCTTTGAACTACCTTGAAAGAAATTCCAAGTTTTTATGCTTAGCCATGAAAATGAGTAAAATATGGCATGCATTCCACTTGTTTGATGAAATGGTTGTGACTCCTTGATGTGCTTTAGAGAGTCAATCATGCATGCTAACTAGTTCTAGCATGTTCTACATTCCTAAAATATCATGTGAGATTAATTTCTTTGCACATATTTGATCAAAAAAATTTGGCTACTTTGTGTATTCCTTTGTGCACTTGACATGCCTATTTATTGTTTGATGTTTGAGTATGAAAATGACTTTTATGTGCATATTCTTGTTGCTGGACATTGCACATTAAAAACATTAAGAAAACACTCAAACTTGTCTCATTAAGCCTTTGTAAGTGACTAAGAGAATACTCCAAAAAGTTGCTAACCAAATCAACTTTCACAAGTGTAAAACCCAAGCAAAGGAGAACTATAAATTCAAAAAAAAAAAGAAAAAAAAAAGAGAATTTTCTGGAATTTTTGGACCTCAAAACCGTGACCTAGTGAAGTATAAAAAATAAAAAAATAAATAAAAAGGGAACAAAAGAAACCAAGGACAAAAGAAAAAGGGAACCTTTGCTAGACTTGTGGAGTTTTGGACCAAATTTCATACCTTAGCACTTGGAGTTATTTTTGGACTATTGGACAAAGCTTAATGGCCAAATGAGACATTAAATCAAACATGTTAAGTGCATCATTTTTCCTTTAAGCCTACTTCATAAATTCTATTCTAGTGTCATTCTAGGACTTATTCTCTTGTGTGCTTGCCTTTCTTAATATGCCTTAATTTTAGTTTTGTGTCTTCTTTCTACTCTTAAGTTTGTCTCATCAATTCCACCTGATTTTAGCCTTTTTAATTGTGCCTTTTTAGTTTTTTTATTTCTTGGCCTCTTGTACTATTGGATTTTGGTTCCTTCTTGACCTAGGTGAGGAAAGCTTTTAAACACCACACACCCTCTTGGTGGATTGAGTGGAGGGGCTGTCTGATTTGAGTTCAAGGAGATTTGGAGGATTACACCAAATCAAAGAGTGCAAACACCATTGAAAGGCTAACCTTGGGTGTTCCATGTGAAGGGGTGGAGAATTGAAGACTTGAAGAGTTGCAATTTTCTTTCTTACTTGTTCTTTCTTGTTAAATTTACGGCCTTTTTGTATTTTGGGCCTTTTCTTTCATTCATTTTGGGTTGTAGTTGGATATTTTAAACTTCTTAGTCATAGGGTAATTCGAGTAGTGCTTGTGGGAGTGGCTTGAATACCACCAAGGTCACTTCAAGCTCCCATCCTAGGGAATCCGACTAGCACATGCTTTAATTGCTTTCTTTACATGTTTTAAGCTTTGGTATACAATTGCTTAGGTTCTCTTACCTTGCTTGTTTCGTTTTAGAAGGGTACAATTTGCCTACTAGGGGGGCGTGCACACACACACTTAACTTTTATGCAAAAAAAAAATTGTTTTGTGAGAAAAGTGTGAAATGGCTTAGTGATTCTTACTTGAAAAGACATGGTTTTTAAGTGATTCCTTGTAGTCCACCTCCCTTGATAGTTCACTTCGTACACTTAGGCCTTTTCATACCAATCTTGCACCTTGAAAACCTTTTTACCACTCACTCTTTGTGAAAACTTTTTGTACCAATCTTTTTACAACATATTTGTGAAAACCTTTTCTCGATCAAAGATTAGTGATAACTCTAGTGTACATGGTCATAATTCCTATAGTAATAGACTTAGTGTTAGGGATGAGATTAGGGAATTGAAGGAGTACATAAGAAAAAAAGAAGTGGAAAACATAAAGAGAAAGAGGAAGACATTATTAGAAAAAGAAAAAAAGAAAATGCAAAGAATAATAAGGAAATAAGGAATTTACTTGCAAAGTTGGTAGAAACTAGTGGATCCCAACCTAGGGTTGTTACAACTAAATGTCAAAAAGGAAAAGAAGTTAGAGTTCCTAGGAGTATGCATGAGGAAGAAAATACAACAAGAGAGGAGGAACTTAGAAGAAAAGAAAAGAAAAGAAAATAGAAAAGAAAAAAAATGAAGAAAAGTATAGAAAAAGTTAAAAAGT